TTCCCCCTGGGATCGCTTGAGCACATACTCATAGCATCATCTCACGAGGTCTCTTCCAGCCCTAAACTTCTGTGAATCTGTAAACATTTCATGGGAACAGGACAGTGGCTACTATGGGTCCCCTGCCGTACCTGTGGCAGGTTCGGGCGGGCTGCCTGTGCCGCACCCAGGTTAGATTACCTGCAGTCCCACGTCCACCTGCGGGCCCCCCACTACAGAAAGGATGTGGACACGTTGGAGACAGTACAGCAAAGGGCAGTGAAAATGATTTGGGGGCTGGGGGATGGACTGGTGAGGAGAGGCTGAGGGAACTGGACTGATTGAGTCTGCAGAAGAGAAGACCGATGGGGATTGAACAGCAGCCTTCACCTCCCTGCAGGGGGGCTGCAAAGAGGATAGAGCTGGACTGTTCTCAGTGGGAGCAGATGATGGACAAGAAGCAATGGGCTCAAGCTGCAGCAAGGGAAGTTGAGGTTGGATATTAGGAAAAACTCTCTCACTAGAAGGGTGGTGAAGCACTGGAACAGGTTACCCAGAGAGGTGGTGCAGTCTCCTTCCTTGGAGATAGTTAAGACCAGGGTAGACAAAGCCTTAATGGGATGATGTAGCTAGGTCTGGTCCTGCTTGGAGCAGGGGTTGGACTACACGCGACTCCCGAGCTTCTCTCCCCTCTCCTGGTCCGCGACTGGATTGCGCAGGCCGGCCTGACTTTGCCTTGGGCCCGGCCGGGAGTCGCTGCCAGCCGCGCTCCGAGCGGGACCAACCCCACGCAGCAGCCTAGGGCAGAGGCCGCGCTACGGGTCGGGAACGTGCGCGCAGGGAGCGGCCCCGTTATGGGGGGAAGGCTCCAGCCCATGGCCGCGTTGCCCCGGTAACCGGCGGCCAACCCCGGCGCTGCAGGCCCTAGGGGGCGGAACCCCCTCCTCTTCCCCTCCCCCACCCGGGCCCCGAGAGCGGCGCGGCCGCAGCACCTGGAACTGCAGCAGCTTCTCGGTCTGCTCCGCCGTCAGCTCCCGCTCCGCCGGCGCCGCCATTTTGCTGCCGCCTCTTGACCCGCCGCTCCGTCACTCTCGGGAAGTGACGCTACACTTCCGGTCCTCTTTGACCGCCCCCCCACCGGACGGGTCGCGGGAGGGCGTTCTTCCTCTCCTCTCGGCGTTGCTGCTCAGGGCTTTCCGGAACGCTCCACGTGACCAGCCGCCCGAAGCCCCTGGGAGGTTTCCGGAAGCGGCCGAAGGCTGCTCGGGTCTCTCCGGAAACACCCGAGCGCTCCACGTGACCGCTCGCCCCATCGAAGGTTTCCGGAAGCGGCCGAAGGCTCTGGGCAGCCGCTGGCGGGGCTGGCGCGCGTGCCGCAGGCCCGCGGTGTGACGTTGCCCCTGGCCCCGCCCGTGACGTCACGCCGGTGACGCCAGCGCGCGGCCCCG